GCGAGGCTTCTCTCCTCCGATCTCTCTCCCTCGCGTGGCTTTCTTCAGCGGCGGCGTCGGACCCAAATCGCAGCAGCGATTTTCTTTTCGTCATTTAACTCCAGCTCTCAATTGTTTGAGGGAGTTTAAGAAAAGGATTAAGGAGAGAGAGAGTATTAAATAGGGGTTTTATTTAATCTCAAGTGAGATTTGAAAGGGGTTTATTCCCTTTAAATTATTAACACTGTAGCTACAGTGTTTCAGTTGAGAAATCTTAGTTTAGGGATTTGCTCTTAAATTGTAATTTCTTGTTTGATTAATAAGAAATTAACTGTGTGGCTCCCGAGGACGTAGGCAGTTGCCGAACCTCGTTAAAACTTGGTGTACTTTTTCTATTCTGCGTTTCCGTTGCATTAGGGATTTCGGCGTTAAATTCCCAACAAATAGTACCGAAAAGATCGTTTCTTGTCTAACATTCCAGCCACTAAACCTAGATATTTGCTAATCTATCCTGCCGTTCTATGTAAGATTTGTGGGGGTAAATTTGCAAATATGGTTGGTTTCGGGTTATATAGGTAAAAACCCCTAAAAGATATTAAAACTGAAACCTTTGCCTAAATTGGTTTTACTTGCTTCTGTTAAAATGAGGTCCAGTTAATTTTCTTCCGTGGTGCATGTTTAGGTGGCTTGTCAGAGTTTAGGGCCACTGGAGAAGGGTGGGGCTGTTATCGGTGTTGATATAAAGGTTGGTGACATTGGTAATATAAAAGGAAGGGATTAAGATGAAAGGGATTTGGTTTATGTTTGTGATTTTGGGTTTTCTTTCTACTGATATTCTATGTTGGTTGCAGAGCAGAATGTTAAGGTTCCGTCCCATCACTGTGACTCTAGAGTACGAACAGTTTCTGCTGATGTTATGGAGCTAATGAAGAGCCAGGCTAGGGAACTGTCTCCTCAGGTTTGTTTGTTTTCGTTATGACATTGATTTTCAGATTATAGCGCTTTAAGATACGTTTCAGTTTTGTTTGCCTATCAGTTGATGCAAGTAACTGTGAAAATTTTGGTTTTGTTTGCGTACGACACGTGGTTGCTGCAGGTGTGATGGTTCACTGTGGCCGATAACACTCCTAATCCTTCCATCCGATAAAGGGAAAGGGGGGGGGGAGATAAAAAAATATCTGTAAAAAATCATTTTCGAATAACCAAGAAGACAACAATCAAGATACCTTTATAAGCCACTATTCCTATGTCTGCATAATTTATTTTTGAGGGATAACTCCAAATATATGTTATTTACCCAAATGGAATGTATACATTATGTGTTTACTAATTGAACTCTCACTATTTCACTACTTTGGAAAGTTAAACCTCTTGGGTAGTTTGCATCCATTCTTTCTTACGGCCATGTGGTTTGTTCTGGTTTCATGCGTATGCTATGTTCATTGTTCATTAGGCACTGAGTGTCATTCTATGAGTGAGCTACTCATAAAAAGGTTTCCTTCTGTGAGCACTATACAAAATCCAGTAATGCAGTATTTAGGCATCTCATTGTTCTTTTTGAGAATTGTTAGTATTCGCTTTCTGTGATCTTCACTTCTCCTTTTCAATTTTGGAGATGCTAAGACAAATTTTACCTAGTTCTTCCTGTTTCTTTCAATTGACTTGATTCATGACTGTTTCCGATTTATAGTTTGATTCCAAAGTAAGCTTAAATATCACAAACATACCATGAACTATTGGGCTTTCGCACAAAAGTTTTGTAATCTATTTTTATTAGAAAAGAATGCTACAAATTTCCAAATCTCCAGAAAATACCATGCACCATCAGAAAGTCACCCGAGCAATATCCCTACTAGTTAAGTTGGGGAAGAGAATTGAGAGATTGCTTATACAAAATAAATAAGGATAAAAATGTCCAAAATATGTTATAGTAGTTTAGTGAAAAAGGTGTGCTATTTTCTCTAACAAAAATAGCTTATAGTTTTTCGTGTGCAGAACACATAATAGTTTCTCACCATTTTGCAGGGAAAAGGTTTTTCTGTGATACTGTCTGATATGTGTCCTATGGTAACTGGTATCACTACAAGAGATGCAGCCTTGTCCAGTGAGCTTGGGAAGAGAGCACTCTCACTGTCTATTGGCAGGGCAAAGGTGCCCGGTTCAACTGATAAAGATAATGATGAGGATTATCTCGATAATTCAGAGCTAGATGCAAATGAAAATGGTGTTCTCCGGCGTGGGGGCAATCTTGTTGTCAAGCTTCTTGAGAGTGAATATAATAAAGGTCTGAACCTCATTAGGATGCTTATAATTACATGTAGATGTTATGATGATTTTTTTTGGAGATAGAGAGGATCATATTTGCTCTGATACCATGTTTTTCAGTGTGGGCTAAAACAAATTTCTTTAACTTTCCAAATATACTAATACTAATAACTCTAATAAACCAATATTCTAATAGTAACCATGTTATAATTTAATGTGGATTATTCTATCTTGTCGAGTTACTGCAGAATTTGGCAACTTCTGCAAACCACGTTTTAAGAAGGTGACATGGTCAAGGCCGAAAGCTACAAGAGCTTCCTCAAGAGAGATCTATTTGATTTGTCAAGGTCTGCGATAACCGGAGAACAAATGGAGGGACTTTTAATACTTTACTTTTGGTCCAATATGAAGGTTTTAGTTTCAAAAGTGCCTATTGATGCTATATATATGTAAGTGATATATCGCAACTAATTCAGATTCTTTTGAATGAAAATGCATATCAGATGAGGTGAAATTAAAAGTGGGTTAATCATCTATTTATCACAGTTGTATTAAGAAAAATTGGTTGAAATGTTGATGAGGATCTTAAAATTGTGATCACCTATGTTGTGTACATTGAGCTTTGTATAAATACTACAAATGAGAATAATTTTTTATTGTGAGTTAGTACCATCCTATGTAAGCATTACTCGGGGTTGATTGTGATTGTTTCTAACGTATGCTTCAGGATTTTATGAGATATTGCATTTTTAATCTTGACGTCCTGCGATGTAAGAGAAGTTTCCTGTGTAAGATATTTCATAGATATTTTTAGTGGTAGCCTTGAGTCATAATCAACAAATTTATACTAATTACTGATTTCGGAATTTGAGTTTATTGTTAGTTTGTTACTCATAAGAATAATCCATCCAGTCTTCTAAGTCTACTCTTTATCTGGATGCGTACTGCCACTATTTCTTCAAAGCATTTTATTCATGCGCACAGAGGGGAAATTTGTTGGCAGGACTAGAAAACAACAGAAATCTATGAATATAAGGAGAAAAAGCAAAAGGATGGAAGATCTTAGATACAATGCTTGACAAATTATCCAGGCAGTATACAACAAGAAATATGTATAACGCAAAAATCTTCCACTCTTCAACAAAGAAAAGTGCATACAAATAATTTATGGAATCTCGAATTCGGAAAAGGAAGAACAAGCGAATAGAAGATGCATCATGAATTCAACACTTGACAAAATCACTCAGACAATAATACAATAATAAATATGTAACAGAAAAAAGTCGTCCACTCTTCAGAGAGAAGCACAAGAATTGGTCAAAAGGACACACTGCAGTTAAATAACATTTGAAGTGCGTACAAATAATTTATGCTAATTTATTGTTAGACTATTGACAAAATTAATCCCTGGAAGAACTTGTTGCAGTTCTAAATTAATTATGCACGACGGAATGATCATCGTTCCATCCATCACCTGATCTGTGTTCTTCCCATGGACCAAAAGCCAGAATCACGTACCGGTGTCTGGAATAAAATTTTTCCCACCCTGATCAGTATAAAAATCTTAGAAAATAAATAATAAATGGTTTATGCAGTTGCTTACCTGTGATTTAATTGAAGGGAAGATGTTCCAAAATCTAAGTGTTTCATCGCCAGCTCCAGTCACTATAGTCTGTGGGGGAAAAAACAGCGTCGATCCTCAATATTTTTGCTGTATATTTATGCATAACAGATGCAAAGAGAAATTTTGAAATATTATGTGCAAACCTGTCCATCAGGAGAAAGGGCAAGATATAATACACGTAGGGTGTGACCGGTTAGAGTTGCGATCTGTTTCATACATCCAATTAGTTCACCATATGAACTAAGTATAGATCTGCTTTAAAAAAAAACTATGCCTTTCTCTGAAAGTGGGGCAAAAAAAAAGCCCAGTATAGATCAGTTTTCACTTTTCATACGTCCCACTAAAAAGGGCAAGAAATATGTCAATTTAACCAAGAAAATAACCTTTAGAAGAGCTAAATACAAGGTATGACATTAGAAGCTCAGGATGAACAAGGTTTAGTTTCTGGATGACTGACACATAGAACTTAAGGAAACAGAGACTGAGAAGTGAAGACATTATAATCTCATGGAGTTTATTATATTGCACATACCTTGCTCATGGATGGATACTTCCAAACCATAATTTGATTCTGAGAATACCCATGAGTGCTAACAATCTCATTCACATTTTTAGACCATGCTAAGTTACACACCTGCGAAAAATTGCAACATTTTCAGAACTGCTTGATAAACTTTTCTTTATCCGTAAAGGATAATTTTACATAGTGCTTGTACCTGACTTCCAGTATCCACACATTTCAACATATTATTATTAGCTGTGTTCCAGAATCTAAGGCAGCGATCAGCAGTTCCCCCTCCCGATGCAAGGAGACCGTGCTGATGAGGGGACCAAGCAATAGCTTTTACAGCGGCTGTATGCTCAGTGAATTTTAATATTGGATGCTGAGAATGCTGGTTCCAAACTAAGAGCTGGTGCATAAATCATAAGTGAGTAAATTTTGTTCATCTTTCAAGTTTCTAGTAGTGTAAACAAATTAGAGAAATTGTGTTAAAATTGTTGAACCTGGTTATCATTTCCTCCAGAGGCAAGTTCTCTATCATCATGTGACCATTTCAACCCACAAACCTAAGTAAAGAAACATAATTAGATACAATTTCGAGAAAAAATAGATCATATTCTTGTTCTGCACATAAATCTAAGCTTAAAATGTCATTTTGAAACTTTGTCTATGATTAAATTCAGTGAGTTTAGAAACGCACCTCAGACCTGTGGCCAGCAAGTTTGCGAATGAAATCGTTTGAAATACGTATGTCATGTTGAAGGATGTTCTTATCTCTACTTCCAGATGCTAATATGCAAGAACTCCATGCCAAGACCCCAGTTCTTGTAGGATGACCTCCCATTGTTCGAATTCTTTTGCATTTTGTGCCATCCCAAATCTGTCGCAATTTCATATCATCAGTAATCTTGGTAAAAATTTGGAAGACATTATCAAGTTTACTTTTCATCTCCTCTATATACATATAGAGAAAAACTTATGTTAACTTAAGTGGACGTACCATCCACCAAAGTTTGATACCTAGAGATCCGTGCATATATGAAGAAACTTTTTATCAATGGATAGAAACTTTGGTGGATGGTCCACTTAAGTTGACATAAGTTTTTCTCTCTCTCTATATATATATATTACTTGTAGCGTCAAACCCGGAAGTTTAAAATGTTGCATTATAGTTAACAAAGCGGAAAGGTCTTCCATACATAAACGTTAAATTCTTCTGCTAAATTTTGATTGACAATGAGCAAAATTTACCTGGATATCTCCAAGACTGGTCCCAATTGCTAGATACGAGCCCTCTCTTGTCCATTGCACAGAACAAACACCATCTCTACCCCCCAAATCACAAAGCTTTGTCACCTGAAACCACAAAATTCAAGAACATTTTCAATTAAATTTCAACTCTAAAACCAGCTACGATCGTAAATTTTTATTATGTTTCGAAAGAACCTTGCTAGTGGATGCGTTCCATAGATAAACACAAGTCCCCAACCCAACAGCCAGCGTATTTTGCGACGACCAATCCACAAGGTTCAGATAAAAATCATCCTGAAGAGATGGAGCATCCAAAACCTGCAAAAAAAAAAAAAGTCAAAAAATTATTAAATTCCTTCCACAGCATGAATCCCCCAAAGTTTCTATCAGTATTTTCAGTTAAAAAATTTCCGTAGTTTGAGCGTATACCTTATGAGCAGTCTTGGCAATCTTCCTCGGCGCCTTCTGCCTCACCGACCCCTCCCCCAAACCCGACCCGACGCCATCCTTACCCAACACCGACATCGGTGAAGTGGGCCCCGAGCTATGCTCCATCTTGTACCGAAACAAGTTCCTGTTCGGGCTAATAGGAGATCCAGGCCCAGGCTCTGGTCCGAACAACTCAGCCCGAAGCAACCTCGAATAAAGCTCATTCCCTCCTCCTTCCTTCACCGGAGATGGACTGTCGACGAGGGCGAAGTTTTGGAGGCGAGAAGAGGACCGGCAAGGGATGAAGCGATCGCTGTACGTGGTTTTGGATGGGGACGGGGTTTTGGGGAGGATCGGGAAATGGGTTGGGTTCGGATCGAGGCGGAGGGAGGTCGCCATGCTTGCGGGCACATTGAGCTTTGGTTTTCTCGGATCCAGATCCATTTCGGGTTGAGAAGTGAGAGGGCGGAGACAAGAAGATGACAGCGTTTGTGTTCTTGTTCTTGGGAGTTCTTTTTTTTTCTTTTTTTTGTAATTTGAATATTGGAGAGGCAACGGTCGATTTGGGGGGAGTTGGGTGCTTTAAAGTTGGGGCATCTAGCCGTTGGGTGTTCCCAAATCTGTATTTGTTTAGTTGGAGAATTATCACAAGGTCCCTGAATTGAGTAATAATTTAGGATGAGACCCTATTCGTTAAACACCTATGGGGCCCAGTTTAGTCTTTACACTTCGCCGAAGGCCCGAGTAAAAGGTTTTAGGCGCGGGTAAAAGATTTGAGCCTCACGCAAAGCCGAAGGCCCAGCCCACGCTGGCGCCGCTCGTCGTCCCCACGCGGCTTCAGGTCGGTGCTCCGGTGGGTCCCACTGCCCACGTGCAACCCCCTTACTCGATGAACCCCGTGGACCCCCACCCCCGCAAAAAGGGGATTCCCCAATTTTCCCGCCAACCCACCGCCTTAATTTCCCGCCATCGGAGCCCCGTTTCAAAAACCGGATGCTCCCCTCGCCACGTTTCACACTCTCGAGTCTCCAGCTCGCACCGGAGCGACCGAGATCCTCCAATTTTCTATAAAACCCCCTCCTCTCCTATTCCCTTTGCATCAAAAACCCTCGCCATTGCATTCCGCTTCCCTCTTCGTTTCGCGTTTAAAAATTCGGCTTCAGGATCGAGAGATCTATAGAGAGAGTAGATCATGGGAGGAGGGAGAAACAGAGAGGCTGAAGAGGGGTGGGAAGACGAGGCGCCGGAAGAGGGAGGAGCACAGGATTCCCGCGGCCATCCGTGCCCTCCGCCGCCGAAGAAGCTGATCCCGGCGGCGCGGCGGGCGCAGAAAAAGGCGGGAGCCCGCCGAAGAACGGCTACTTCACAGCCGCGGATGTCTTGAGGCTCTGTTCGCCGTGGCGCCGAGAAGAGAGCCTCGCGCTTGAGGAGTCTTTGGGGGGGAGAGGATCGAGAGAAAGTGTGTAGATATAGTTTGTTATTGATTTGTTCGGTTGTCTCTTTAATTGTTCTCCGAGGTTTGCCTCCTTGATTTCCGATGGCATGGGACGTTTCTCTATTCAAAGCAATTTTTCAGCTCTTGAGCTCATCAAAGCTTAGCGTAGCGAGATGATTCATTGTTCTAGATATGGCTTGATCCATCGGCTGATATATCAATATTGGCCTTTGTATTCTTACTGCGTATAGGCAAAGGGTTAATGAAAAGGAATTAAGGAGAATGATTAACATAGTTAGCTCATTCGATAATCCGAATGATTGAATTATTAACCCGTTATATGAGTTTTATTTTAATCATTGTGATCAGTTTTAGTGTTTAGGAATAACAATGATTTTAACTATTTTCTTTATAATTAGAAGAGTTAACTCTTAATCATTCTAAATAGGAATATTAGTAAACCCCTCATTTTAAGGGGTTAACTCATTTTAATCCCTCTAAAGAGGTTAGCTTAACCCTTCTATATTTTTTATGTTTAGCAAATTATAGAGGGTTAACTTATTTTAACCATTGTATAGATTTGGTAAGCGGTACCTTAGGGCATTTTATTATATACCGCATCATCTGATACGACACTTAGATGTCTATTACATATTCTCTCGATATTATTCCTATATATGTGATTCTAGCTGTCCGATATTTCCCCGATATGCGGGAATTAAAACCTGAACAGAGACCCAAGGTTAAGCCCCAACGAAAATATTTGTTGAAACGACATCAGCAGCCAACATTTGGTGCCTGTTTTTTTTTTTTAACCAAACCCATCAAATTTTTGGTAAGTTAGTTAAAAAGAAAAAAAAAAGTTTATTCTGTTATAACCACTACCAAGTTGCATTAATTCCTTTAGAAGCATTAAGGTTTGGGATCAGATTGATTTTAACTATTTTGAAACAAAAGTTGGCAGGAGTTAAATAATAGATCAAGTCACCGGTCTGTATGACTTCAGCGCGTACAAATAAATCTCAAATTTTATGTCCTCCACCCTCACGTCACCATTAGACTCGGAACTCTTTCGAGATAGCGAGGAGCTCTTGCATGTCCTGATGACAACCAACATTGCAACTGCAACATGTCCTCATTATGGTGAGAAGTTACCCATCAAAACTAAGGAACAAATTAAGATATTCGCCCTTATTAGATGGAGCCTCACAAACATTACGAGCACGACAAATTTTTTAAACAATCGAAGGAAAGGGGGAAGATATTAACGGGAGCAACAACAAAAAAGGGAGGATGATGACAGTGTAAATGAGCAAACTTGTTTCGGGGGCGGTTTAGGGATAGCTTAATTAGTAAATTAATTATGCCTTTGCAGCAAAGGCATAAAAAGAAAGGGGCGGGGGCCCATCTAGCAGCCCACCATGCAGGTTGCGTGTGGTGGGCTTCATCCACGAGGGATCGAGGAACCACCCTATGTATGACAAACCCACCCTTCTAAGCTAAATTAGAGTAGTGTAGGGCACTGTAGGGTCGGTTAAGCTGTGCTTCGATCATTGTACAGAGTTGCTTCTGTAATTACATTTTGGTCAATTAAACCTCCTTAGCCTAAAAACTAAAAACCTCCTTCATCCATTGGATCTAGATGAATCCAATGGTTGGGAGTCAGTCAAACAGTCAACAGAACATGCATTAATTACCTCAACGAACACAAATCTGGATTCACTGCAGTGAAAAACGTGTTCGTTGAGGTAATGAATCTGGATTCACTGCAGTGAAGGACGTGTTCGTTGAGGTAATGAATCTAGGTTCACTACAGTAATTAATGCATGTGTTTAATGAGGTAATTAATGCATGTGTCTGTTGACTGTTTGACTGAATCCTAGCCATTGGATGAAGGAGATTTTTAGTTTTTAGGCTAAGGAGGTTTTATTAGAACCTCTTCATATATATATATATATATGTATATATATATATATATATATATATATATATATATATATATACTATTATATATTCTTATATATATATATTTATATATATCATATAAATAATATACCGATAGAGAGAGAGAGAGAGAGAGAGAAAGAAGTGGGATATGTTGGTAACAAACATTAGCTTTTGTGCTTGGTAGTAAGGTGACATATTCCCTTCCACTCATTATAATCGGGGCTCACATTCACATAGTTGGGGAGTGGTTAGGAATTGTAATGAGTGGATGAGAATATGACACCTTACTACCAAACACAAAATTTTTGCTTGGTACCAAGTATACTCATTTTTGCTTGGTACCAAGTTCTATTCATTCGTAACCGTTAAAATTACGGTGAGTGGATGAAGGGTCAAAACATGACGGGTTCACCCCAAAATTGGTGTGTTTGGGTTTAAGAGCGTGTAGATCAAGTTCAACGGAGCGGATCGCAAAAAAAAAATTAGGAAATATATATAGAGAGAGAGAGAGAGAGAGAGAGAGAGAGAGAGAATTAACACATATTGAATCATAAGTCTCAATTGCAAACTTTTTGGGGTTCAACCGTTCAAGCAGAGTTTAAATTTTACCTCCATTTACATGAAACTATGATCATCTATTCATATATAACAACCCAAAACATGCAACGAAATGAACATCTGCGATAGCAATTGCAATTATAAATTATAACTGAAACTAGAAATACATGCGACGACAATTAATTACAATAAATATATCTGAAACAAGGTGCTATGTAGTTATCAAATTCTGATATTAGATCGGAATGTTCATCAGATACTACAATAAACCCTTCGATCTGTAGATTGTCATGCGAGGCAGGGGATGTGATAGAAAATAACAAAAATAGATTCTATGATTTTCTGTGGCGCAGGTTCAACCATGTATATGTTAGTAGATACCAACTATGGAGATCATCTAGATTGATGGCAATTAATTAGTTGTTGACACAGTAACTTGCGTATTTAACTTACCTCCTTGGAACATCTAGATCCACTACTATAATATCCAAAAAATAAAAAAAGAATTTAAAGAAAAAAGTTAAATTTTACTTAGTTAGCACTCTAAAGTTCAGCTCGACCCGATCTTTGATATGACCAATTTAGGAAATCAAATTTTTATTTTTATTTTTATTTTCCATTCATCATATCATCACCTAATCGACCAAACTCACCGCTATATAACCTCACCCCTCACATTTACAGCTCACTGTGCAAAACAAAGCAAGGCAGCAAGTTGTAGAGAACAAATAAATAAAAAAGAAATGAGCGCTTCGCTTCTCTCTTCCATTGCCTCGATGGCATCCTTGCTACTTTGCTTGAGTGTTCTCTTTGGATTGCCACATTTCTCTTCGGCCATAACAAGGCACTATAAGTTTGACGTAAGTTAGTTATATACAAAGCAAGTCCTATTTTCTAATTCTTTTTTTATTTTAAATAAAGCTAATTATGCATCTTATTTCTCGATGATAAAATGTAGATACGTTTACAAAATGTTACAAGATTATGCCATACAAAGAGCATTGTGACAGTCAACGGACAGTACCCAGGACCAAAGCTCATTGCCCGTGAAGGCGATAGAGTAATTGTAAAAGTCACCAACCAAGTTTCAAATAACATTACTATCCATTGGTACGCAACACTTTAGCATTTCTTCAATATATTTGCTGCTTTATTTAAAAGTTTTATTTGACTAAATGAATAAATTGTGCAAAATAGGCATGGAATAAGGCAACTACAGAGTGGGTGGGCCGATGGCCCAGCCTACATTACTCAATGCCCGATCCAAACGGGCCGGAGCTACGTGTACAACTTTACGATAACAGGCCAGAGGGGGACATTATTCTATCATGCTCATATTTCATGGCTTAGGGCGACGGTCCATGGGCCTATTATTATCCTGCCGAAGCTCGGTGTTCCTTACCCATTTGCAAAGCCCTATAAGGAAGTACCCATGATTTTTGGTAATCAGAAGTACTTAGTTCTCTTTGTGAATGTAGCTTTTATTTTAATATTTAATGAGCGAGAATAATTTAGCTATATTTTTTATGTTGCAGGGGAGTGGTTTAATGAAGACACTGAGGTAGTCATTTCTCAGGCTCTTCAAACCGGAGGAGCCCCAAATGTCTCTGAAGCCTACACCATCAATGGGCTTCCCGGCCCGCTATACAATTGCTCGGCTAAAGGTAAACCAGCGTACAGATATCACAAATATAAGCCCAATTCCGGCCCATTTTGATCGTCTTAATTTGGCCATGTTGTAGACACGTTCAAGCTCAAGGTCAAGCCCGGAAAGACCTACCTCCTCCGTATCATCAACGCTGCACTCAACGACGAGCTCTTTTTCAGCATCGCCAACCACTCTATTACAATTGTCGAAGTCGACGCTAACTACGTTAAGCCATTCGCTACCAAGACTCTCCTCATCACGCCGGGCCAAACCACCAACGTCCTCCTCAAAGCCCGGCCCAATAGCCCAAACTCACGGTTCCTCATGGAAGCCAGGCCCTACGCAACTGGGCTTGGTACTTTCGATAACACAACTACTGCTGGGCTTCTAGAGTACGAGAATACGGGTATTTCTTCTGGAAATCTTCCGCTTCTGAGACCGAAACTTCCTGCTCTCAATGATACTGCTTACGCTACAAACTTCACTAACAAATTGAGAAGCCTAGCAAGTGCACAGTATCCAGCTAAAGTTCCTCAAACAGTGGACCGCAAGTTCTTCTTCACCGTGGGCCTTGGCACAAGCCCATGTCCAACGAACCAAACTTGCCAAGGGCCCAATGGGACCAAGTTCGCCGCATCCGTTAATAACATTTCTTTTGCCCTGCCCTCTACGGCCCTTCTTCAGGCCCATTTCTTTGGGCAGCAAAATAAGGTTTTTACAGCAGATTTTCCAAAAAGACCTCTATTTCCATTTAATTACACCGGGACGCCACCAAATAACACGTTTGTAAACAATGCGACTAAAACTGTGGTGTTGCCGTACAATACAAGCGTGGAGCTAGTGATGCAGGATACTAGCATTCAAGGGATTGAGAGCCACCCTCTCCATCTTCATGGCTTCAATTTTTTCGTCGTCGGTCAAGGATTTGGAAATTATGATCAGACTAAGGATCCATCCAAGTTCAATTTGGTTGATCCTGTTGAGAGGAATACTATCGGAGTGCCCGCTGGAGGCTGGGTCGCAATCCGATTCTTCGCTGATAACCCTGGTGAGAAAATTAGTTTTTTATAACTTTTAGAAAAATAATAAATATGTTTTGGCTAAAATTAGAATCTTATTTGAATTGGTTTGTAAATTATATTTTCAGGTGTATGGTTCATGCATTGTCACATTGAGATACACATTAGCTGGGGATTGAGGATGGCCTGGGTTGTGATGGATGGAGAACTACCCAGTCAAAAGCTGCCACCTCCGCCGGCGGATCTTCCAATGTGCTGATGTGGACAAGTTTTTTTTTTATTTTTATTTTTGTGGAGTGTGATCTTTTTTGTTTTTAATCTTTTTGGCTGGCTAATGAACCCAACCAATAAGTTCATTAGCGACCCAAATTGCTCTTTTTTTTTTTGACCGTTCAATATTGTGTGCATTTTTTTTGTTGAAAACAAACATATGCATGTTCTTTGCGTATGTTGGTTTTGTTTTGAATAAAGAAGAGATCGAGGTTAATTGATGTGATTCAACCTGGCCTCTACCTATGAAAACAAACATATAGTTCCGATCCTGTTCTTCATAATGTCCTCGTTAATGATTAACCACATGAAGGCCTCTACTGAAAAGCAGAGAGATTGATGTACGTGATTAATTCAACATGGAGGCCTCTACTTATTAAAACAAACATATAATCTACTCGTCCTTGAGTCCAAACATATTTAACTACACATGAATATACCTCAACCCTGTTGGGATTGTGTCTTTGATTCTTTGTAGAACTTCATGAGAATAAGATAGGGTTAGAGATCTATCATGATTAGGTGTTTGGGTTCCATCATGGTTAGGAGTTTGAATCATATTCTAATTAGGAAGTTAGGTTAGGGATAGGGTTTTGGTTTTACTATATATATTCTTCTATTGTAGGAGGAAATACTATAGGAAGAAGACAGTAGAGAGAAGATGTAGTAGAGAGAGAGAGAGAGAGTTAATATTCTTGTAATCTAGGGTTACCAGAGGGCGTAGCCTGATTCAAGAATATTGTGCAAGAGGCGAGGGTTTCGTGATCTTTGTCCGTGCAAAAGATTACAAGGAGTGGGCTTTAGAGAGAATATGAGAGTTGATTATGTATGTGAGGTTGAGATTACAAGGAGTGGGCTTTAGAGAGAATATGAGAGTTGATTATGTATGTGAGGTTGAGAGATTGAGAGATGAGAGTTGAGTGGTTCCTCTATGTGAGGTTGAGAGATTGAGAGATGAGAGTTGAGTGGTTCCTCTTGTAGTTCTCCTTGATACATAGTGAATTTCTCCTATTGTTGCACCGTGGACGTAGGTCGAAGTTGGTCGACCGAACCACGTAAATCCCGATATTCTTTTTTCTTGATTGTGGTCTTTTTATATCTTGTTGATTGTGTGTTGGCTTTGGATTGCGCATATTATAATAGGCGGGGAAAGTAAAATTCCCCAACAACAACCCCCCCACCCACCCACCCAAGGTGAATCTCTAAATGAAATCAAGCTCACACTTTAATCCGAATGGATCCAAGACATTCATGCATGACATATACCGATTCATTAGATAGTGAATGAGACACTAGAATATAAAATACCTATTAACTCCTCTTACCTTTCATAGTAATATCTCAATCAGATAAGCTTCACCTGTGACCTGCCTCTTTGTTAGACACATCTACAATTAAAAATAATAATAATAATTAGTAATAAACATAGCTCTAATTAATAGAAAATTAGACACATGATATAAATTAATGGGCATATATATATATACATATATATGTAAACAACAAACAAAGCTAAAGCAAACGTAACCATCAGCAATTGATGACCACAAAAATTGAAATGTGAATGTGAGGAGGTTAATTGCATCCGTAGTTCTGACTAGGTTGTTGGCCATTATGAGGGCATGTTGCCCTACCTCAACTGAAAAATAAAAAGGAGAGATCTTAAGGGAACGTTTAAAAAGAGCACATCCAAGGGGGAGAAAAAAAAAAGATATATTGGAGAAAGGTGTTGATGATGATATTGTCTTCGGTCCCTTTTCTCTCTCTCTCTCTCTCTCTCTCTCTCTGCCTGAGGAACTGAGCTGGCTTTTGTCCTTCAACAAATGGACCTTAGCCTCCATTTGTTGCTTTGCTGAGTCCTTGTGTTCAGAAGCTCTGTGCTCCTCCCTCAGGGTTTTGAGTTGACAAACTGAGTTGATGAGATCTGAGAAATAACGTGAGCTAGCGCATGTTAGGCGCACGAGTAGTGGGCGGAGGGAGGGCCTTTCGCTCGATCGATTATTACAACTGCAAATATTTGTTCGGTACATATAACTGTTAGCATTTTCTTAAGGAAAAGGCAATTGTGAATAGTCCCACATTGGAAGTTGAAGAGAAGTTCAAGTGGTTTATAATGGTTCACTTCCTAATGGGCTTTGAGTAATGTTTTGGGCCTACTAGTGTTTGAGCTCTTTCTCCACACACGCGCGCGCGCACGCACGCCACGCCTCGCCACGACGCGCGCGCCACGCCGCACTCGGGTTTTGCTTCTCCAGCTTTTATTTTTTTTTTGTAACGGCAGCATTTATTATGTAACGGCAGCGTGATTTACGCCCAACGGACGAGGAGATTCAGCATCGGTTACTGGTTCATGAGGCTATATAAGGAGGCAGAGTTCATTCGGGAAAACACACAGAAATTCACAAAGAATTTCATAGCTCCCTCTTCCTCCTTCTGCTACTCTTAGTACTCAAAGATTTTCGGCTACATATTTTGAGGATTATTTTTGGGCAATCATCTTCATCTGAGCAGAAGCTCTGCTACTCGCGCCCGAGTAGAGAGGCCGGCCGTTTCCGGGGGGCTTTTACCGCTAGGGGGGAGGATCAACTACGCCAGGGCGACAGGCGGTTCCTCTATCTTCTAGGGCAGTGTATCACGACTGCACCCCGTTCAGGCCTGATTTTTCATAACTCATTTATTTTCAGTTAAACTAATTGTTTATTTTGTTAGCAATCTAGAAGATAGAGGATTTATTGCTGTTAATTTAAATCTGAAAATAAATATATATTAAAAAAAAAAAATTGTTACTGTTCACCCGAATTTCATATTTGTTTAACTGTTTTAATTTGTTAACCTTTTGCATCTAAGTAGTTAACAAATTATTTTACTGCAATAGTACTGAATTTTATATCTGTCAATTTTCATATTCAGTATCTGTCATAAAAAAAAAAAAATAAAATTATTTTACTGCAATAGTACTGAATTTTATATCTGTCAATTTTCATATTCAGTATCTGTCATAAAAAAAAAATAAAATAAAATAAAAAATAAAAAAAAAATCTTTAAGTGAACCGGTTCAAGTTTTCTTGGATTAGTTGGTGTCTAAGGAAAGGTTTAAGGGTTGCGTAAAGCGCTCTGCAAGAAACGAGGTACTTAATCGATCATTGATCAACCTCTAGTACTATCCTTACCTGGCCAAACTACCCGAGTAAAACTTTAATCTTTTCACTTTTAGAGTTTTTGGTTAAGAGCAGGTTTAATTAAGTTTCTGGTCTAGTAGTATTAATAAAATTCTTACCCTGTTCAGATTTCAACTACCTAGACTAGTAAAACTCAAATTGGACTTATGGCAATTGATCATTCAAAAAGTGTCAAACCTGAGAAGTTCACCGGTATCAACTATAAACGGTGGGCTAATCAGATGAGATACTGGCTCACTACCTTAGGTCTCTTATCAGCCATTGACTTTCCTGAGTCTTCTACTAGTGGTACTCAACCTTTGACTCCTGATCCTGAACAGTCTGTTCCTTCCACTTCTGGTTCAGGTGCTAGCTCTCTTTCTAGCTCTATGAAACCAGAAGATATTAATTATCATTGTTGTCATAGAATTCTTAGTGCACTTGCAGACAACCTTTATGACATATACTATGAGTTCAAAAGTGCAAAAGACCTATGGCAAGCTCTTGAAGCAGAATATGGCTATGATGATGCCGGAATTCTGCGTTTCACCTCTTCGTCCTTCAATAAGTTCATGATGGTAGATGACAAGCCCATTAATGAACAAATTCATGAATTTTTAGATTTCATCCGTCATCTCCAATCAAAAGGAAACACTTTTACTGATGACTATAAAGTTTCCTGTTTGATTGATAAACTCCCTCCTTCCTGGTCTAGATTTGCTGGAGATCTCCGACACAAGCAAGGAGATCTAACCTTAACTGAGGCCCTCAAGGCCATTCGTATTGAAGACCAGCATAGGCTAAATTCCAAAACCAAGAATGAATCAAAAGCTAAAGTAAACTTGGTAGAGGAAAAGCCTAAATCTAGAAATTTCAAACCCAAATGGAAGAAATTCAAGAAAAACCAACAATCTTTCAATAAATCTTCCTTCAAATCAAATTCTTCCAATTCCAATTCTTCCAGCCATAAGTCTGATGGAAAGTTCTGCTTTGTCTGTGGTAGAACCAACCACATTTCTTCCAACTGTTTCTTTCGGAAGAAGGAACCGGCTAAACCTGCCTCTAAAGGAAATGGATCAAATAAAGTTAATATGATTGAAGAGAATCCAACCTCCTTCAGGTTAGCCCCATCACCTCATCTTGTAAATTCTCTAACTTCTTCCACTGATTGGTATCTGGATTCCGGAGCAAATATACACGTCTGTAATGATCGCTCTTGGTTTTCAAATTATCAGGAATCACGTGGAGGAAGCATAAGCTTAGCAGATGACTCCACTAAACCAATAATAGGAAGTGGAAGTATAAAGCTCACTATGACTTCTGGGAAAGCCCTACATCTGCAAGGCGTCTACCTTGTTCCTTCTCTCCGTCGAAATTTGATTAGTGAATCTCTTCTTCTTAGAACTGGTTATAGGATTGTAAAAGAATCCAACAGATTTGTGATTACAAAGAGTAATAATTTTATAGGAAAAGGTTTTATCTGTAATGGCCTTTTCAAACTCAATGTAATCAATTCCAGTTCTAATGAAAATTCTAAGTCTCCTGTTATTCAAATTGTTGAATCTTGTGATGTCTGGCATGGACGACTTGGACATGTCAATTTTCAAACTTTACAGAAAATGATCAATTTGAATCTTATTCCTAAATCATCTATTGACCTCTCATCCAAGTGTGAGATTTGTGTTCAAGGGAAACACACAAAAAAACCCTTCAAGTCTATAACTAGAAACTCTGAGCCCCTCGAATTAATTCATAGTGATGTGTGTGACTCGAATCGAGTTCTCACCCGAGGGGGTAGGAGATATTTTGTGACCTTTATAGACGATCACTCCAGATATTGTTTCACATATCTTCTCAGGACTAAAGATGAAGTCCTAGATAGGTTTAAGGTCTATAAAGCTGAGTCTGAGAACCAATTAGACAGGAAGATCAAGATCCTAAGATCTGATCGTGGGGGGGAGTATACCTCAAATTATATGACTGAATTTTGCCAAGAACACGGTATTATTCATGAGGTTACTGCTCCCTATACACCACAGTCTAACGGGGTAGCTGAACGAAAAAACAGAACCC